ATTCTCACTCTTGCTAAAGAATACATTTATTTTCACTCTTGCAAGCTCTGTGAAATACAAATACGCGCACTCATTGGATATCATATCGAGTTTAAAGAAGGATTTTTGGGTTGAAAAAAATAGAAGAAGAAGAAGCTAGCATTCTGGATGATGTTTTGTACAACGAATTAGAGCCAAATTCTGAAGTTCCAGAAAACCCAAATTGTAAGCATTTGGTACTTTTTACAATGTTTGATAGCTCATTAGTTATGCAAGTTATGGGTTTCTGATAGGGTGCTTGGTGTTTCAACTTGATGCAACCCTCTTTTGAAAATTAAACTTGCCCTGTAACGTCCTATTCATGTTTAAATCAAAATTTGTCATTGTTGAAAGGGGTGACTCCTTTACTTCTACGAAGAATACTCTGATGGAAAGAATGAGAGGAACAAATATGTTTGACGATGTTAATGAATTGGAGCTAGATCTAACATTATTACAATATTCAAATGGTAATGGTTTAACATGTAATAATGATTGTTCTTGTTTCCTTTTTTCCTCTATATTGAATGCTTCATGTTCGTCTTGGTTTAAGGCGGCGACAATTGTACTACTAAAAATAAAGTTCAGTATGAAAGTATGTGGAAGAAAAGTTGCTTCTGACGTTAGAACCACTGTAATGGATGGAGACCGGACAAATCTACAAAATTCAAATGGTAAAATTGGATCCATGTGTTGTTCATATATTTGCCTACTTAATTTATACAGTAACTTTTTGAAAAGGGAAATGTGCTTGTTAATATCTGTTTTCTATTAGTTCTTGAGAGATCTGAATTTAATCTTCTAAGAGTGTCACATGCTACTAGTTCAATGCGTTGAAGTTGGATAGTTCATTAATTAGTTAGGCAAGTTTTGGGTTTGTGATAGAGTACTTGGCCTCCCTCTGCTACTTTTCAATAATATATGTAACTAACAACCCTTTTGTGTATGAAAAGGCTGTGATGATTCTAGACTACAGATATTGGTGCATTTGGAGAACATATATTATATATCTTGATTTATGTTTGAGCTTTTTTAATGGATAAAATAATTGGTGTTATGATATTCACCATTATATGTTGCTAGAAACGCTCCTACTTAGGCTTTGTTTGCAAACACTGAAAAAAAGCACTTCTCATCTTTTCGCTTATAAAACTAAAGAGTGTTTTCAAGTAACAACTTCTACTTGGATTAAAAAGTAAAAGTTAAAAGCTATAATCTACTTTTTAATTTTTCTATTATACAACACTTATTTTATCAAACACTACCAACTTTTACTTTTCAAAATCACTTTTATCTCAAACACTACCAACTTTTACTATTAATCACTTTTTCCCAAATCACTTAAAAAAGTTAAAAGCACTTGGGAGTAGTGTTTGCAAACAAACCCTTAATTTATGCAGCAGCTTTTCGAAAAGAGAAATACGCTTGTTAATATATGTGTTTTCTATTATGTTCTTGGGAGATCTTGATTTTGTGACAGTGCCACATGCTACTAGTTCAATGCGGTGAAGTTGGATAGTTAATTTATTAGTTAGGCAAGTTTTGGGTGTCTGATAGGGTACTTGGCCTCTTGATACTTTTCAACAATATATGTAATCCAATCCCTCTTGTGTATGAAGTGGTTGTGATGGTTCTAGACTACTTATATCGGTGTATTCAGACAACTTAATTTGTATATTGGTAGGGCAATCCGGAACGACCCGGTTATTGCAGCCATGGCGGCTTGGACTTTTCACATTGCCTGCTGAAAAACACAGAATTCGAGCCTTTACATAAGAGTTACATAGAGGCAGTGTGATCAGATGTTCGGTTGTATTTGTTACTAGGAATATCTTTACTTCATTAAATGATTGTTAATATAAGTTCTTTCTATTATGTTACTGGGACTCTGGGAGACTTGAGTTTGATTTTCTAAGAATGTCACATGCTACTATTTCTATACGGTGAAGGTGGGGGCTCCTATATACCAATAACATGCAGGGGGTAGCGATCTTGATGGCATAAGTGACACTGAATCGGAAGAAGATCGGATAGTCGTTCAAGATCTAAATGGTAATCATTTATTATTTCATCATTGATATACTACAATTTTTATTCTTTTCATTATTGAACACTTTGAATAATACTTTGTTTTGGTTGAAGGTGTTGACTCTTGTGTAATGCCAAGAAGAAATCAATGACTGAAATACAGAGGGGAAGAAACAAGTGTAAGGAAATAACAAGGCTAAAACCCGGTGAGAAGCTTGAAGTAACTTTCTATAACAATAGAGCTGTTGGAAAGAATCACGAAGTATGGTCAAGACATTTGGGGATTATAGTACGAGATACAAATTTTTGCCCAGTGAAAGTGCACAAATGGAATGACATTAGAGAAACAGAAAAAGACCATATGAGAGTGCAGTGACGGCAATTACATATAGTTTGTGTAAAAAACTTAGTCATTTATTCATTGTCTCTTAGCATTACTTTTGAACAACTTTTCAAATTTTCAGGATGTCTTCAATAATGAGAATATAGAACTTTACAAAGAGCATACTCTTCTGCATATGAAAGACTTGTGGAAAAATTGGAGAGCAGACTTGTTAAGGTATAATGTAACTAAAAAAGAACATAACCTTAAAAGCTGCATACTATCATGATCCACCTGAAGGACTTGAAAAGGATGAATGGAGGTGGCTTATAAGAGAGATCTTTTATAATGACCAGTTTAAGGTAAACTTTAATAGTTTGAGCAATCTTTACTTTAATGTGTGTAGATATGTTATAATACTTTTTTTTGCAGAAAAAAAGTTTAAGAAACTCTGCTAATAGAGGTTCTTACTCTAATGATCGAATGCATCGAACAGGGAGCAAGCCTTTTAGCCAAGTCATTTGGGATGATTTGGTATGAAAGTTAAGTTGTGGTTCATGTTTTATCTTTTATAAAATTTTATAGTGAATAGAAAAGTATATAATGATATTAATGTGTTATGGAAGGGTGCGAGTGAGGGTAATGATCCAAATTTACTTGATGTTTTCTATACGACTCGCAAGAAAGGAGATAAGCTTCCAAATGTGGAGACACCACAAAAACATGTATGTCCATATCATTCAAATGTTTTTTTATTTTTGTTGATGTTTTGAAAATAAAATTGATATCCTTGAAACATGGAATATTTCATTATGTAACAGAAACTTTGTATTCAGCTTTCAACTTGATTCTTGTTAGTTTTTTTCGGGTAAAAATTATTTGGTTATGGTTTTACATTAAAGGATGAAATTTGTGAGACGCTGGAAAAAGATCCATCACTTTCAAATGTCCATGTGACTATATATATTTATCCATTTTTTTTTATTTAACCCGAGGTTTGAATAGCAATGATTTTGTAGTCAAAGTTGATATGTCCATATGGGTGTCTTGTTTCTTAATATCCAGCTTGTATTTTCTGATGCATAGGTGGCACAAAAGGTTTTTAAATCCAAGTCTAAAGATCGGGTCGTGGGCTATGGAGGAGGAGTAAAGCTTAAAGATATAACAAGACCACAACCCAGTAGAGAAGAGCTTCGAGCTGAATTGAATGCTACTAAAAAGCAGAATCAATTTTTGTTCAATCGCGTGAAGACGATTGTAGAGGAGAACAACAGGCTTAAGGACCGTGTGGAGACGATTCAAGAGGAGAACATTGAGCTTAAGGACCGTGTGAGTTCCATGGAGTCGCGAATGCAAATGTTTCACGATGTGCTAGTGAAACAACTTAATGTTTCAATTCCTCATTAGAGTTCCCTACTAGGTATGTTTAAATTACTTTAGCAAATAAATTAAAAGTAGATACAAACACGTGTAAATACCTTCAAAAGTCTCATTTAAGAGATGTTGTATATGTTTCATTTGGATTTTGTGATATCATTTATATCTTTCTATTCTATTTTCATTGGTATTTGGAGAGAATGTGAAAATTCACTGGTAGTGAAGAGCTGAAGAGTTAATTTTTTGCTGATTTAGTTTTATTGCATTGCTTATTAGCCCTGAAGACATACCACGTCGGCCAGCTGTGAAGAGTTAATATTCTACAGATTTCTAGCAATGAATACAAATATTTTAGAACTTTGTTTTTAGATTTTATTTGTTTGTATGAATGATATTGTTATTGTGTAGATTCTACACTGTAGACATACAACAATAGTTTTACATTGAAGATATTTTGTTTTGAAGCATTGAAGATATTATGTTGCATATGTTGCATATGTAGACATACAGTATAAAACTATCTTCAATAGTTTTACATTGAAGATATTATGTTGCATATGTTGGTTAAACTTGATGGCAGGATCAGAAGATGATTAATAGTTTGATTTTTTCAATATTTATTTATTCAATAAATATTAATGAAATTTTTTCATTGTTCTGCTCGTTATAAATAATTTGAATTTGTAGTGAACTTTTCTAGGATTAAATAATTTCAATTAGAAGCAAATTTTAAAATAAAAAAATGATTATATATCCTGTTACCATGTAACAATGAAAATTTATATCGTCGTCATTATAAAACGACAAGTTAGCCTGTCGACGTTATTATGCGACGACGAACTACTATTTCATCGTTATTATTTAACGACGATAGTGTGTCGTCGTTAATTATTAACAACGAACTCTGTCGTTATAACCATTAACGACGGAAGCTATTACAACAATTTGACGACAAAAAAAATCGTCGCTAACCGTTTTAACAACGAACTTTTGGGCCTACACCAATGATTTTTGAGTTAAAAATGCTTTATCTAGTAGTGATTATCAAATCCTTAGACTCTATATAGATTTCTAGGTAAGTGGTTTGTATTATTTCTGTGAACGTAAGAAATAACTATATAGATGATTATTTTAGAGACATATTATTTTTTCTTAGGGATGATATAATGCCCGAAGCATGTATATATTTGTGTTGTGGAATAGAGCCCGACATATATTAACTTTTGATAGTCATACACATTAGAAATTTAATTCGGCCTATTGTAAGGATAAAAAGTAATGGAAGCACAAATTATATTTATAAACAAGTTATGCACATAAACAATAATGATAAAATCTCAGGCATTGAGTGTAAGCTTAAAGAAGCTACTCAAACATTGCGAAGTAGTAATTCGAAAAGTGATATCGTACTTATTGGGTGATAGTTTGAGACCACACCAACGTAGCGTAAATTGTGTTTCCATATATACGTAATTGGCCACTGTCACTCTTCTTTTACTACTTTCACGTCTATCCACAAAATATGCATTGACGCGGTAAAAGGAAACCTGAACCAAAGCTTTGATGTGCAAGTATCGGGCACTTTTCATCACACTGTTGAAAACCTCAGCCATATTAGAAGTTGTGGTATCATATTTGAACCCTCATCATGGTGTAATGACCACATTTCTAAGGGAATGATCCCCTGAACTTATCCTGCCTCCACCCGCATTTCGCTTATCCTGTTGAACCTACCATCAAACTTTTTTTGTGATGTTCCCGTGCGGTCTAAACAAACAGATTTTACATGTGAATGTCTTTAAAATGGGTGTGCACATTCGATCTAAGATGGCGCATACATAACCTATGTTGCGCAGAGGGCTCCTCCCAACTACTCCCCACTTCATTCACAGCCTTTATAATATATGGATGTCGATCAGAAATGACACATAATTTCCTTTTAGTTACAAACGCCCTAATGAAGGCCATAAACAATGGCCAACTATGCCCATTCTCTGATTCACACACTGCAAAGGCCACGAGAAAGAGTTGGTTGTTTGCATTGCTACCCATTGCCACGAGTAATGTACCATTGTACTCCCCATACAGGTGTGTGCCATCAATAGTCAATATTGGCCGACAATGCTTAAAACCATGAATAGAAGGCTTGAATGCCCAAAAGACTATGAAAATGGACACACTCAGTGGGACCTGTAAGGGGTGAGTACCAGTGCACAATTTTCCCATATTGAAATGTTGGAGCGCTGCCATGAAATAAGACAATTCAGAATATGACTTCTCCCAACCTCCAAAAATTTCATTAATGACTCTTTGTTTGCCCAACCATGTACGTCTGCATGAAACCCTATAACCATACTTTTCCTTCAGCAACTCAATAATAGTTTGAACTTTAAGGGATGGATCAGTGCGAATAAGGTCAATTACATCTCGGATAATGAAATCTGAAGTAATCGCCACATGGTCATCATTGTCATTGTTGCCAACATAAGTAACAGAATGACGTCTTGGATAACACACGTCTGTGAACATGTCAAGGCTTGCATGTTTCTTTGTGCCCCGTATTCTCCAAGTGCAATCATGATCCTTCTTTCTCTTGCACTCTGCAACCCATTTATGTTTATCTGACTCTAGCACACGATAAAATTGGTTGCGTTTAATAGAATACAAGCTCACCATATTGATGACCTGTTCTTTTTTATCAAACTGTTGACCAACCTCAAACTCATTGTTTGGTGTAAACCTATTCACACATGTTCCACTCCTCCACCCATCATCAAAGCCGGATGGGAGATCATATAATCTAGTACAGTGACTAGACGAGACAGTTGCGGTCACAGTATCACCATCATCTTCATCTGATTTTGTCATTGCATCATCGTTGATGTGTTCATCAGCATCATCATCAGTTCCATGGCCATCCAAAAAGGATGCACCATTGTGCAAATACCTATCATCCTTCTCTACAACCATGTCCAAAACAGCCTCATTTGAGAAGGCCACAACATTAACACCATGCCCATATACAACAACATTTGATGTTGACGGAGTTATAGAAGCGTCACATATGGAATATGCAATGTATATCTCCATTGTGGACATAGTCATCATCTGAACTATCATCCACATTCTCGTGACAAATTCCTCATCATCAAGTGACATAAGCATGTATGATCCCCCGTGAAAGAGGATATATCACCTGCACTTGCAAAGAATGGCTAGGACTCCTAGAAGTAATATGTGTAGCTGCATATTTTTTTTGCAGCATCTCTAACATACATGCGCCACGAAAAACAACTACATACATGTGTACTCACCAATTATGATCCCCCTGCCTCCTCAAATAATTTCCCTCCCCAATGACAAACTATTGGGAAGTTGGAGAAATCCATATTCTAATAACAATACATGACGATAATTGGTGAGTACACATTAATATACACACTTTATACACCCCAATTCATCATTTCATACACATAACAACATATTAAAAAACTCTCATATTTAAGCAAATCCTATATGATATAATTACACTTAACAAAGGCAAAATATTACTTGTTAAAAGAAAGGGAAAATAATGATTACCCCCTTGAGGTTAGGTGATAATTATTAAATCAACCTTATATTTTAGAACTGAATTATTTACCCCTTAAGCTTTTACTAAAGTTAGAATATCCCCCTTTTGTTAAATATAAGTTGTTTGGACCGTTAATTGTAAATGGAATTCCCAAAAATGTCCTTATCTATTAAACTAAACTAAGGAGTGGTGTAAAATAAGAGTACATTAACTGAAAGTTTCCAGGCTTACTCCAAAAGTATTCGAACAAATAATTAATGTTATCCCAAGCATCATTGCAGCACACTTGAAAATTCAAAAGAAAATTCACTCGGCCGTGTATTTGCAGTAGGGGTGGGCAAAAATACCAAACCGGCATGGTGTCAAACCAGACCGATATGGTACTGGACCGAAAAACGGCACTTGAAAGGGATCTCAATTTTTTTGTCACGAACCAGATCGTACCGGTTCTAAACAGTGTCATGACTGGTTAAAATTTGTACTACTATAGTTTATCTGAATTTTAATACTTATGTAATACGAAGTATGAAAATTGATAAATTATGTGAATTTTTATAGGATGGCTAAACTTTAACTTCCACTTAAACACTTGAAAAAGTGACATTGTTTGATATTAGTATGATATGATACCGTCCCGTTTGAAAATAGAACCGTACTGAACGGGTTTAGGTCTAAGATCGAATCAAATCGTTTCACTAGTCACGATATGGGTACGAGTTCGGAAAAATACTAGACTGGACCAGACCAGACCCTCTAATTTGGAAAAAATACGTAGATGAGAGGATTTAACAAATAATCCCTAAAATAGGCATTTGATGAAAATGTTGATAGAAGGGGGAGATTACAACATTAATCGTACCTGAGGGGGTAAATAGTTGACTTTTAAAAATATAAGGTTGAACTAATAATAATTATGATCAAACTAGAACGGGGTAATCATAATTTTCCCTAAAAGAAAATTAAAATATTACATTAAAATTCACATTACACAACAAACCCACAACAAAACCAAAATATTACAATAAATTCAACATTAAAATTCAACATTTCATACATATCCGCAGTACAGAACAAATCAATTCCTAATTTACAAATTCGAAATTTATAGATTCTAAACCCTAACATGAAAAAATGAGATGAAATGGAGATTTCATTTACCTAGAGTGTTGAAGAAGATGGAGGTGAAGTACTCTTGGCAGAGTGGAGGGGTCTTGCCATCGATGCAGTCGCTAGTGATGGAGAGGAGCTCGAACAATCGCCTTTGTAGCGGAGGTTTTTTTAGGGAAGGGAAGTTGCGTTCTGTCTGGCAGCCTCGACCCGTCTGTCTGTTTAAAGGGAAAGTCACCAAACCCATAAGTCGCCAAAACTTCAAAACTAAAACGTGTACGGAATACAATTTTATGGAAGTTGTACTTAATTAACTAAAACTTCAAAACTTTGTATAATATTAGGAGTAATTTTGTTCAAAGGGAAAGTCACCAAACCCATAAGTCGCCAAAACTTCAAAACTAAAACGTGTACGGAATACAATTTTATGGAAGTTGTACTTAATTAACTAAAACTTCAAAACTTTGTATAATATTACGAGTAATTTTGTTCAATGTTAAGTTTTTAAAGTAGGGATAGTTTTTGTGGAAAAAAAATAGGGATTATTACTATTAGCCTCTTGAGGGTAGGTCAAAATTATTAATTCAACATTGCATCTTTAATTTATAAATCAATTATTTGCCCTTTGAGTTTTGATTATTTACACTATTTACCTCTCCGCCAACTTTAATCACATTTAACTTCATGTACCGTTATTAAATCTAATGAATGTTTTCTAAAATATATATATGATTATAAAGTATATAGGTTATGTAATCTTTATTGTCTTTCACTTCCGTTACATATTTTTCCATATTATTCTTTCATTATTATGTAACATTAAATTTTCACTATCATCACTATAATGTTTTCATCTCACCATTGAATTGAATCGTTACTATGTTTTGTTTCTTTTTCATTAATACACAAAATTAAATTATTTATTTAGGATATATTCCTCATGTACAAGCTATGAGTAGATTACTATCACACTTGATGCATGCATTTTTGTTTCATCTACACGACTTTAAACAACATGTACAATTTATACTGCCTCCGTTCCTAAAAATCCTTCTCGATTTGACTTAATTGGCACGCTTATTAAGAAAGTGAAATAAAGTGGAAATGTATGGATGTGATTGTGTAAGAAAAATGTAAAATGAATGTGAGCCACACAAATTGTCCAAAAAGGGAAAGTGAGAAGTATTTTTGGGAACGGCCCAAAAAGGAAAGTGAGAAGTATTTTTGGGAACGGAGGGAGTACCTTTTAATCGCCTTGCCAAATCAAAATATGAATTAATTATGAGACGAAGAGATTACTATCATGTTTTCATCATATAAAATCTATAGTAAAACAGAAAAGTGTGGGGGGATTTGGGTTGGAACACTTTGAGTGAATAATTAGTGTAAAATTATTGGTATATTAATATTTAAACAAATAATAGGCTGTTTGGACGGACAAACTGGATTCCAAAATTCAAAATCTATCTTGAGAGTAAAACTTGGGCGGCATATGCTGGGCAGAATACTATATATTCAGTCAGGAGTGCCTAAAAGCGGGTGTTTTCCCAAAAGGAAAAGCTAACATGTATTTCCAGAAGACGGGTATAAATCTAGGTTTTCTAGGAAAGCGGGAGTCGGAATTGGCTATTACGACTAGAAGCAGGGTTTCTGAAAATTTAGATGGATCATCTGGTTGGATTTCACTATTCATACTAAGGGTATTCTTTATTTTTTTTTATTGCATGCAGTCGGAATTCCAAAATCCAACTAGAGGTTTAAAAGAAGGTCCAGTTTAGTTTATTGATGTGAGGTGTTAAGTTTATTTATTTGATTATTAATACTAAAAGTGATACTACGTATTTGTAACATTTTCAAAAAAAGTGATATTAGTAATTGTAAAAGTGAATTGTAAATTATGAATTCTAAAAGTAATACCATGATATATTTGAAAATGAAAATTATGCATTTTGATTTATTGAATAACAAAACATTGAATTGATTACTTTATTTCATTTTTTAATCCATCATCCGTATTATTAAATAAATTCATAAAATGAAATATAAATTTGATTTTGTTTAAAATACAATATTTGTAATTTTAATGGAAGTGAACAAAACAAATGTAGTTTTTAATGTAATTCCATTGATAAATATGTACATACAATAATAAATTTAATACTAAAAGGGGTAGTCGGATTTGAGTGTCCCTTGTTGTTCTTAATCATGTGTGTATACACTATTATGTCCGTCCGCTCACCTTGTCAAGAGATGTTGATACGGCGGAACGACTAGTGTGATGATCATTACACTGCTTAATTTATGTGATTAAATTTATCTGATTAAAATTTATCTGATTAGATTTATCTTTTTAAAATTTATCTGATTAAACTTATCTCTTTTAATTTATCTGATTCGTTTTATCTGATTAAATTTTTCTAATTAGATTTATCTGATTAAATTCATTTGATTAAAATTGATCTGATTAAATTTATCTTAAGAAATTTATCTGATTAGTTTATCTGATTAAGATTTATCTGAATAAATTTATGTTAAGAAATTTATCTGAATAGATTTATGTGATTAGATTTATCTCATTAAAATTGAACACATATATAATTATTATAATTGGACCCAAATTTTTGGCTTTTAATGTTCGATCTATAATTTGTAAAAAAAATTGAGATCTATGTAGTTGGATTTACCAATTACGACATGAGGGAAACAAAAATTCAGCTAACCTACATAGGGCCTGTTTGGTAACAGCTGCATCGGCTGTAATGGCTGAAAAGTCTGAAAAGACTGAATCTGGTGAAGTGAAAGTGTTTGGTAATAAGTTGGCTGGAATGGCTGATTGGATGTAAAATTACCATAAGGGTATTATTTTATTTGAATTATATATATGGACTTGAACTTTACTTTAATATCATTGATTACTTTTGAAATTTCATTTTACTCTTGCATCCTATTTTATACTCCGTATTTTATATTGTTTTATATTAATCTGTATTTTCTAATGAGCAATATTAGTAAAAAAAAATGAGCGATTTCTTTTCTAAAAATCACCAAACCACTTCGACAACTCTTCAAGCTTCTTTTATCAGATTCCTATTATATTCACATATTAAGAGCTCTTACAACAATAAAAAAACATAAACAGTTCAATTAAAGATAATGTTTACCAAATATTAGAAAACAGAAATCTGGGAACTCTTCTCACAACATCGATTTATCAACAACGACTAATAATCCGCCGACAATAATCAACAACTACTAGTAATCACTGTCAATATTCCGGGAAGAATTAGAAGAGGGACGTGGGTTCGAAGAATTGAAGAAGAAGATAGAGGCAGCTTACCTTTATGAATATGGAGCAGCCGAGCAAGATTCTTCGATCTGGAAGGATAGGTCGAGGCATAATAGAAGGGTATATGAGTCATTGCCATGGCCAACGGTAATATAATTAATATCAGCTGAAAAAGTAACATTGGACCTCCTTTTTCAGCTGATAAGAAAATTCAGGCAAAACAGCTCATTCGATAGGTGTTTGGTCATTTTTATGTATTTTCAGGCTTTTAAGCCCAATTTTGGTCCTCCAAACGCCCCCATAGTCGGGTTTACCAATTCCGACAGGAGGTTGCCAAAATACAAGGACGCCCAATTCCTACTCCCGCACTTTTTGGTAACCAATTTTAATTCCCTATTTTGGCGTGTCAGACCAAAAACTCTTGTATTTTGGTAATTTCCTCCCTAAAAGCCTTATCAAGTTTGGAGTGCCTAAAAGCCCTATAGCAATGATTGTCTTCGAGCTGGATGCAACTATATATTCAGTTAGGAGTGCCTAAAAGCCTTATCAAGTCACTTCCGATATAAAACACCTGGGCACATCTGCACAGATTGTGAATGTGGGCATATATATACTATACGGAGTACTCGATATCAGAGAAAGCCATTAAATGAGAGTTATTCTTGGAAGAACTCTAATGGTACACTAAATGCACTCTTGCTTTTCAATTCATCATATATATAAGTGCTAAATTTATACGAACTCAACAATTCAATTTCTAAATTTTAATTTGGCTATACAAATGTTAGCATCTGCTTTAGTTTCTTTCCTTTTAACAGCAAATTAAATTTAGTTGGAACTACAATTAGTTTCTTTTGTGAACTACAATTAGTTTCGTTTACTGAGATTGAATAGATTTTATTGTACGTTCTTGTGTGGCGTTAGTAAGGTATTCCGATATAATCTCTACAGTTTCTTTCTGTAAAGGTAAATGTATGTGTGTATGAATATGATATATGCCAAATTCATTGTAAGTTATTAATTCAATTCAATTCAATTTGAATGATAAGAGAAATGGGTCGAAGTTCTATAATAATAATTATTATAATTATAATAATAATACTCCGTAATAATAAAAATAACAACAACAACAGTGATTGAATAATACTCCTTAGAGCATCTTCAATGCTACAATGTGCACGGTGCACATGTGGCATGAGAGAGATGAATACAAAATATTGATTTTATGACATTTATCTCTCTTTCTTTCCACAGTCTTATGTGTTTTTGGTAAGTTTTTACCTGCAATGTCAACCACGATATCTATATCTAGACATTGTGCTTGACATTGTGAGGAAAAACTTACCAAAATAATGTAAGATCTTTCAAATAAGGAGAGAGATATTTTATATATTATTTTTTAATTAGTTATTTCTCATGCCACATATGCACCGTTAACGTTTTAGCATTGGAGATGCTCTTATATACTCCCTCCGTTCTCCAATATATGGCCTTATAGTTGTTTTTTACTCCAGGGGGTCTGGGGGAGGGAGTCTAGGGGCCCTGTAATAATCAGGGTTGAAACTCATGAGACCTCCCGTAAGGGAGAGTGAGTCGACGACCAGCCGGGCTGGACCGCTTCCTCGGCCTTATAGGGTTTGGCACTATAATTATCCCATAGTTTTTTTAGACCGACGCCTGAAGAGGAAAATATTTTGAGTGAAAAAGAATAGGGGTAGTGTATAAGGTGTGATGAGTTGTGTTTAAATAATAAAAAAAAGTAGGAAGAAAAATGAAAAAGTAGGAATGAAAATGAGGGTGTATAAGTATATTTATTAAAAAGGAAAAATAATTAAAATACCCCAAACTTTGAATGAGTGTGATATAAACACCCCAAACTTTCATATGTAATTAAAATACCCCAAACTTTATATAAAAAGTTATTTTAGCACCATGATCATGTATTATTTATTTAAAATATATAAATTTGTGATGTTAATTGCATAATTTAAAATAACAAATTGTAAACGTTGCAATTACATAGAGTGGGGGTGATACTATTTATTTTACAATTAAAGTTTAGAATGTTATTTGTATCTACATGAATGCTAAAATATTTTAAATTATGAAATTAAAACAAAAAATTAACATTTTTGAAAGAAATAATGCATGATCATGATGCTAAATATCTTTTTTATAAAGTTTGGGGTATTTAAACTACATTTGCAAGTTTGATGTGCTTACCTCACATCCCTTCAAAGTTTGAGGTATTTTATTTAATTTTCCCTTATTAAAAAAACTTTCAAAAATGGAAAAGGTAACATTTAATATAAAATATTCCAAAATGGAAAGAGAAACATGTAGAGATAGAAGCGAGGGAGTATTAACGAATCAAAATCAAAAGATCTACAGAGTATAAAATTTAAAAGCTGTAACTGTCGGATACCGTATTTGTCGAGGGAGTACCCGTATTTGTCATTTTAGACTTAGGCTATGTTTGCTATTGCTTAACTTTTTAAAAAGTGCTTTTGTAAAGTGATTTTTGAAAAAGTGATTAATGATAAAAGTTGGGAGTGTTTTAGAATAAAAGTGATTAAAGTGAAAGAGTTAAAGTTGGAATGTTTGGTAAAAAAGTGATTGTGGAATTATATTTTTCTAAATGTACTAAAATATCCTTGCCTTGATCAGCTCACTTTTCTCTTGATCGTAAATACTCCCCTTTAACCTAACCCTCCCTTGCACCTGTCTCATACTTCGTATTTCTTTGGATTTGTCCTGGTTTTGCTTTGGTCAAAGTGGAATTCCTCTTCTTTTTTCTCCCAATCTTGAAAATCGGCTCTAGCACGCTCCTTGGCAATCTTGAATTTCTTGTTTAGATTTGTATCGCCAAATGGATTCCAATCGTTTGAGTATCCAGAAAGCTTGTGTTTTGCGTTCAGTTTCTTCACCGCCCTCTTCAACTTTTTCTCAGATTTCTTTGCCATATACTCAGCGATCTGCTCACTCATCCGTGATTTTCCTCTTCTTGACACAGAGACATCGGGGATATTGAGAAGGGTAAAGTGGGTATCAGGAGGAAGGGAATGGTATAACTACTCGCAAACTTGGTAGAAGCAGATAGAAGCATGGTAGAAGTAGCTTCCAGCTTTTACCCTATAATCACTTATTTTGAAACTGAATCTTCCTTTTGCAAACACTCAAAACAACTTTTTTTTTTAAAAAAGCCAAAAGTGCTTTTGAAAAGCAAAGGAAAACACTGCCTTAGTATGACGGTATTGATTCTCATCAAATACAAACATAATAACGACATTTTCATAATTCTCTTATTGGTAAATTGCTCAAGTATTCTCTGATAATTCGAAAGAAATGTTGATGTGCAGGCAATGGCGGAGGCAGGGGGTCAGGGTGGTCAGTCGACCCCGCTGAAAGTTCAAGAATGTAGAACTCTGAAATACATTCGATTTGATATATTATGGGTCCCGTAACTCATTACGGGTAAAAAGTAATGACTTCTGGAAAAATCAGCACCATCTTAACTTCAAATAAGCAAATTTTGATGTATGACTTGATTATATTCTTAAATTTAAAAATTAAACACCTTATTCAGTAATTAGTTGTGTGAACATTATGATACATTACATATATATATATATCAATACATTAAGTAAAAAAGACTCATTAAATTACCATTTACCTCAGCTATATATGAAACATTTAATTCATGTATTGTATAATACCTATTCATCATTTTGATACTGTGTATAATTAAATAGGATATGAAATTCATTTACGAATATCCCTATAAATAGGATTACAAGCATGCGTGATACAATTGAGATAGAATAGTTATCTACGTAATGTTAGGGATGGTCAAACTATAATCTAGTCTAGGTTCATTGTACACTAAAGCTACGCTAGGCATAAGTATCGGTAACAACCCAGTGGATTTACATGACTAGTATTATTATATACAAATTAATATAATAATAGGATAATATTATGATAGTGCCGTGTAGGATTAATATGGCCTGCATGGGATAACTGCTAACACGCCCCCGCAGTCAAAGCGGGAGGCCCACGGACGCTGAGACTGGTCCGGAAATCATCAAACAGAAGACGAGGCAGTCCTTTGGTAAAAATGTCTGCAAACTGATGTCGGGATGGAATATGAAGAACACGAACTTCACCACGAGCAACTTTCTCCCGAACAAAATGTATATCCATTTCAATGTGTTTGGTGCGTTGATGCTGAACCGGATTGCCAGTCATGTATACGGAACTAATATTGTCACAGTATAAAATAGTGGCACGATGCAAGGGACGTCGTAGTTCAAGTAACAAGTTGCGGAGCCAACATGTTTCGGCCACTACATTGGCCACACCACGATATTCAGCTTCAGCGCTAGAACGAGACAGAGTTGGTTGTCGTTTGGAAGACCAAGAAATGAGATTATCTCCCAAAAACACACAATAGCCAGAAGTGGACCGCCGAGTGTCTGGGCATCCACCCCAATCGGCATCCGTGTAAGAGACGAGTTCCAGGAGAGAAGAGGGACGCAGATGTAGACCGAAGTGCATAGTGCCGTGAATATACCGAAGCACCCGTTTAAGTGCCAGAAAATGTGGTTCCCGTGGGTCATGCATGAATAAACAAAGTTGTTGGACGGCGTAAGAGATATCCGGCCGGGTAAATGTAAGGTATTGTAGTGCACCGGCTAGGCTGCGATAGAGTGTAGGATTAGTGACCGGTGGGCCGGCCGCAGCACTGAGCTTAGAGTGAGCGTCAACCGGAGTACTCACGGGGTTGCAATCTGCCATACCTGCACGACGGAGTATATCTCGGACATATGAAGATTGGGAGAGGAAGAGACCCGAAGAATGCCGTTGAACCGAGATTCCCAAGAAATAGGTTAAGGGGCCAAGGTCCGTCATAGAAAATTCAGCTGCTAGTTGAGTGATGATGCTCTGCCGGAAAGTGTCCGATGATGCTGTGAGAATGATATCATCTACGTACAGGAGGATATATGCTGTGTCAGGACCCTTGTGGTAGATGAATAGGGAGTGATCACACGTACTGTGAGAGAAACCAAGAGTAGAAAGGTGGGAAGCAAACCGATGGTACCAAGCCCGAGGGGCTTGTTTGAGGCCATATAAAGATTTTAAGAGCCGGCAAACATGGTGAGAGCGAGAATGATCACGATAGCCCGGAGGTTGATGCATATATACAGTTTCCTCCAAGTGACCAT